AATAAAGGAAGGCACAAGTCACAACTGGGAGGGCCTCGTTTTCTCCATTTGTAGGGTAGAACTAGTCGTGCTGGCCTTTCAGGGCTGGTGGAAGCTCTGGGTGAGATTCCTGCACAGAGGATTGGCGCACCCCCTCTTCCTCCTCAGACCCCTTCTCTCTGGCTCCTCAGCCTCCCCGCTCCCTTGGCCATTTGCCCCAGAAAGTCTCTCCCATCTCAGGAGTACCCTTCCCCGACCCCGCATCTCCCTCTGCCAATACTCCATCTGCTTCCTCTGAGCCAACCTTCCTGCCCACCTCCCCGTTCCTCGGCAAACTGCCTACGGGCTCAGCTTTGCCTGGAAATCATCTCCTCACCTTTGGGGACCCAGTACTGATGCTGCCTCCTTTGGAGAACTTCTTTTTGCTGGACCCCCTCCCCCAACACCTGATGCACTTGACTTAAGTGTCCCAGTGAGCACCTACCTCCATCCAGGTTCGCCCCAGTGGTGGAGGAGCCTAGCACTTATCCATATCTGCTGTCTCTTCTGAGCTCACAAAAGGATTATCTTTCCCTATCCCTGTGGCAGTTAGGCAGGGACACCGACTAGTTCTGGCCAAGGGGCTGGGAGCAGAGGTGAAGCCTGTTACTTCTGGGCCAAAACGTTTACTTACCAGTGCAAGACCTTCGAGGACTGCCTGGCCCTGCCTCATCCATCATGGCAGCATGTTATGAAATGGAGGTACTGAGCCACCGCTTGGAGGCCACTGCCCTGAGGGTCACCCAGAGCCGCAGTAGACTAAGACGTAAACTTCTGTTGTGTCATATTGGTGAGGTTTGTTACCCAGCACAGCCAAGCCTATCCTGACTGAGTTTCCAGTTAAAGGAGTTTGTTAAATGAATGGATGGCTTTGTGAACTGTAAAGATCTGTGCACATTTTAGTTACTGTTATTGTCATCAAGCTGTAGCAGGTGCCTGGGATCAGGGACTTCAGCAAGCTGTGGTGACCCCTGTGTAGCACGGCAATGACACTGCAGGGGTGGGGTGGAGAGCGGATGAGTGGGTGAGCGGGCAGGGTGTATCTTGGGAGAAAAACTTTCTCTCACTTATAATTTGCCAAGGGCTTGTCCACGACCTGTTTACATATTTAATCTCTGGTTAAAGGTTATAATGAATTCTGTGCTGTTGGCAGGAGATGGACATTTTTCCCAGCTATTTAGTTCTTGTGGTTGTAAAAGATAGTATTTCTCTCTTGGATTCACAGTTTTTTTGTTTTATTTTCTTTCTCTCTTCCTCGCTCTCTGTCTCTGTCTCTCTCACACACACGCACACACACACACACACAGTCCCTGGGAATCTGTAATATAATATTTTAATATTAATTTGATAGTGACTGGATTCACCCCCAGATTAAATGTATCTCTTCATCTTTGAATGCAGCTGGAGAAAATCACAACGTGGCTTTGTTTCCTAAGCGAGACTCTGCTAACCCGTCACCAGGTGGGCGTGTCTCCTTGAAGGTCTGTCTGTGTGCAGCTCTCTCAAGGCCTTTTCTCCTAAAAGCCTTTTCCTCTTTGTCCCTTTTCTCCGTGACTCTCCTTTAACTTCCGGTGCTATAGGGCTGACGCGACCCTGGTTAATGAACAGTTGTAACGTTCATTACTTGAAAAGCAGGTGGGTAAGTGAAATATTACCTGGTTCTCTCCACCTCCGTTACCTACCTTGCTTGGCCCTCAGTAGATTCCCCCACCTCCATCCCATGGGCTAGTGAACTTCCGAGGGAACAGACTGACTCAGTAGGGGAGCTGGAGCAGACAGAGAGGTCTGGACAGCCTGGTTTGAGTCCAGATCCGGCCAGTTATTATTTGCATAAACTTGACTACACGGTCACTTCCTTGATTTCAGATTCCTCATCTTCAAATGGAGCCTTAAGACCAGTCTGGCCTCCAACATGGGGCTATGGTAAGGATCACCCCAAAGGGCTATGGGCCAAAGGATGATTTATGTAGATGTGGCATTTAATTCTCACTGCATTTTCCCTCTCCTGTGCCAAGAAGGCTCAAGGAAGGATGGGATAAAAAGGTTCCTGCATACCCTTCCTTTCCTGGCTTTTTTGTTCAGCCCCCGAGGGGCTGGGAGAGGGAGTGGAGCAGAGGGGTGGGCTTCCTAGGACTGGATGTGGGGATGGGGAGCATCATTGCGAGTACACAGGACCCTAGTCTTGGGATCTGGCCTCTTCAGGGTTTCCAGGCTCAGGGAAGAAGCAGGGCTTCTAGGAGGCCTCAGACTGGGAAGGGACCAAAGACCCACAGTGGCAGGACCAAAGACCCACAGTGGCAGGACCCAAGGACATGCAGATGGCTCTGAGAGCCAAACACAAGGCTGGTTGAGGTTGAATTTCCGGCCAGTCAGCAGCATGAGGGCCTGAAGTCAGATACAACCAATATGAAGGAATGACAGTGACACATTTTGCACTCTCAAGCTTGTAGAGGGAGAGTTCCACCCTTAGGACTGGTAGAACCCAATATAAGTGTGGGCTCTTGCATTGTTTTCCATGTCCACTAGCCCCTGATTGGAGCCTTCTCCTCCTCCAGCCACCTTTGAGCTGACCACAGGCCCAGTGTGGGTCCGTGTCTCAGTGGTCTAAGCACACGTGGACATCCTTGAGGCCCTGATGACCCACCACACAGGGTCTAACAAGCCGCATCAGCCTCACACGAGGGGCCAGTTAAAAATGCCACGCCTGGGCCCCCTTCAGCCCCATATAAAGGGCCTCTGGGGCTGGGCGGAGAGGGTTGGGAATCTGCATTTTAACAACACACTCTATGAGAGTCCAACACTCAAGGAAGCTTGTTAAGCTTTGCACCGGAAGTGAAATGAAGGTGACACCATTATAGTCCCAGCTGGCAGGTTTGCTGTGGGCCAGTCGTACTGGCTGTGACCAAGTGATCAGCGATGATTACGATATTAGTTCTCTTTTGTGTCATGGACTTAGCTGTCCATGTCCAACCCCACTTCTGCATATAAACTCAAGGGCAGGGATCAGGGCTCCTGAGAGCCCAGCACTGTGGGGTCTCGACAGTCACCTGCAGAGATTCACTGAAGGGACATGAGGCACCTGCTGCTGCTCTGTACCAGGATGATGGGTTAGAGTGGCATCACCTCCCATCCCCATGGCCTTGGGCCCCCAAGGGTTGGGGCAGGGGCAGCTCCTCTGGCCAGAAGGTATAGGTTCTGTCTGCTCTCTAGCCGATATACATGACAGTACAAATTCATGACCAAATTATATCAACAGCAGAATTATAATATATTAATAGCAATATCATAATAGAAAAAAGGCTTGGGAGGGCAACCATCTTCCAGAATCTGAAGGTTGGCATTCATTCTTCATGAGCTCAGCTGAAGACAGTGCCTTCAGAATTTGGTTAAATGGCAGCGAGAAGGACCAGGGTTAGTTGCAGGGAATCATTTTCCAAGCAGGCCATTTAAGGGCCTGAGGTTGCATGGAGCCTCCCTTCCAGAGTGAGATCTGTGGAAATAGAGCTGGTGGCTTTGGAATCAGGCTGTCTGCGACAGTGGCTTTCACAAAGACTTCGGTCCCATGGCAGTGTGGCCGTTGACATTCCACCATATGAGGCCTTTCTGGAGGTGGCTTCTGGACGGGTCTTCCAAGAGCAGTGGCACTCAAGAGATCTGCATGTGGCCACGACCAACTTCCAGCTGCTCCAGAGGACATGGCGAGTCAGCTCCCTGTTTGGTAAAGGCCAGGAGCGGGCTCAGTCCGATGGGGCGTGGACGGTCAAGGTCTTGTTGACGATCTCCGAGTTCTTGCTTGTGCAGCCCCAGCCCTGCCCAGTGAGCCCACTCTGGGAGGAGGCCTTAGTGTAGATGGAGGGCGGGGAAGCTCCGGGAGAACCACGCACCAGCGCCGCCTTGCACAAGGTCGGTCTCCAATAAATAAAATACTTGTGGACGAAAGGCCTCCCTTGCTGGTTTCTGACTCTGAACCTGCACCCACAGCGAAGCGCCTCTCAGCCCAAGTCTGGAGAAGGCGCTCACGCCTCTGGAGGCGGTGAGAAGAGGCTGAGGAAATGCTGATGCGTGTGTTCAGGGCCAGGAGAGTCAACCTCTCGGGCCTCTACTTTGTGGGCTGCAGATGGCCGAGCAGCCTGGCAGCTTTTGACATTCCCTGGGCTTCATCACCTGTTTTGCGGACATCCCTGATGGCCTCCCTTTACTCCACAACACACAGGCTAAAGTCCAGACGAGGGAGCCCGTGTGAAGCCACCTCATCTGCGCCTGGGGAGGCTTGTGGGGGAGGGGTTCTTCCCACCACTCTGAGGTGACGAGTCCTGTCCTCACACCGTGGAGTGGGGCCTGGGCATCACGGCTATCCACAGCCGGCCGCAGGTCTTCACCACAGCGTGGCATTCTTAGTTCGAGATATACCCCCAGAAAGACAGAGATAAACATGCACAGACCCGTGTACGGAAGGGCCTAGAGTTAACGTGAACGGCATTTGGATGGCCCATCCTTGGGTGTCAGTCCCAGCTCTGGCGCCTGAGCGTGGGTAACTGAGAGGGGAACAGCTGGCCGTACTTCCCAACGGGGAAGCTTCCAAAGTGGCCTCTTGGGGCAGGAAGCGAGGATCTGAGGGGAAGGGAGCCAGCCCCCCCTGGGTTCTGTGCTGGTGCCGAACCCGGAGGCAGAGGGGGCTGCAGCCGGCCTCCTCCTCCCCCAGCCTGGTTCTGGCCAGTAAGAGCTCAGCCCTCCCTTCTTCCTCTGGGCAGATACCCAGAGGTCTCTCCGCCTGGGAAACCACCCACTACGGGGCTGGGGGCGCAGAGCTGCCTCAGTGAGCATCCCTACTGCGCAGAATGAGCCTGGGCCTCTGGGGGCCCCTCCCAAGGGGCCAGGGAAGACCCAGCCCTCCAGCTCTGTGCCCCCCCGGCCCGGTGCACAGCGGCCCCAAGGGACCCTGGGGTGCTCTGGGAGGGGGGGACAGGGAAGGCAAATGGTGGTGGGGTTTTCTCTCTTATTTAAGAAATGAAAAGGAGATGCCGTGTTAACGTTAGTAAATGTGGGCAGGTGCGGGGCAGGGTCCGCTCTCGAGAGCAGAGCGGCGGCCGAGGTCGCCTGTCAGATGAGGCTGGCGGCCTTCTCCTGCACGTTGTACTCCTTGTTTTTCTTCACCCGCCAGCTGATGTAGAGGAGCAGCAGCGTGCCCAGAGCCTTGTAGCCCACCTGCAGGCCCAGGTACCTGTGGGGCAGGAGACAGGCCCTGTGAGGGGTGTGGAGGCTCTGTGGGCAGCATCACAGCGGCCCGGGCCAGGGGTCCTCACCACTCAGGGCAGGATCCGGGCCCACCCAGGTGGGGCCGCTCTCCTCATTCCTTTTAACCCCAGGACCACAGGCCTCGCAGGGAGTAGGCAGGGAGTAGATGTGTGACTCCCAGTCCACTGCTTCTCGTCCCTGCCCTGGCGACCCCTGGAGGGCCAGAGAAACACTGCAGACCCAGCCGCGTGGAGGGTCCTGCTGCCCAGCACAGCCAGGAGGGGGCACCTTCCCGTTGCCTCTTGGTCTGCCCCTCTCCAGGCCTTCCATGCCACTCCCACGCCGTTTCCAGATCCCGTCCTGCCCCCTGAAGCCCACTCTCCCTGCTGTTTCTGTCTGTGTGATGAGGTAGCAGGTGAGGTGGCTGGAGGAGGTGCCAAACTCAGTGGTGCTGCAGCTGGGTGCTGCCTGCCCTTGGCCTCTGCCAGGAGCCGTGACGGGCCACCTCTTTCTGAGCAGTGGGAGGCTGGCCTGGCATCATCATCCCACAGCCACAGCCTCTCCCTTTGAAAAACCTCTTTCTGCTGTTGTTCCCGCCCCCCGAGGGTCAGTGGGGACCGCAGAAGGGGGGCCACAACAGAGCAGCCCCTGAGTCTTGGACGGCTCTCTGTGGGCCCTGAAATGCCGGTCACCGGTGGCCCCGCTCCCTGCCCAAGGCAGCTCCCCTCCTGCCCTCTCCCTTGGAGGCCTGAGAGCCTCACAGTTGCCACCGGAGCAGATGACGGCCTCTGCTTGGGCCTGGGGCCTGGCACATCGTGCGGGCCCTCACCTGTCTCGGAGAGAGTCGTTGTCGTAGTAGATGCAGGCCCCTCGCCTTCCAGAGCACTGCGCGCCCCAGCGGATGCAGGAGTAGTCGATGGTGAGGCCGTAGAGGGCTGGAGACGGCAGCCAGGCTGGCGTCAGTGGGAAGAGAGTTCAGAGAGCTCAGGTCACGTGGAGCTGCCAGGAGAGGCACCCGGCAGGGTGGGGAGCGAGCCCTCTAGCACCCCTGCACGGCTCACGGGCATGAGCACGGCTCTGCCCCACCCTGGGAACCACAGTGACTTTGGAAAGCAGAAGAGCTTTCCATGAAGCCTGAATTATTCTTTCACCAGAGGCTTAGAAGAGAAAAGGGGCCTGAGCCATCCTTCCAGGGCAGAGTGAGTCGCAGATGTCACCGTGGGCCTGCTCAGACAGATACCATAGTTCCCACACTTGGGATTGCTAGGCTCCACTGGGTGGCAGGAGGCTCTCAAGGACACCAACTCCTCGGGTCCTCACAGCAGCCCGGAGGTGGGTGGGTGTCCTCATTTTAACGGGGAGGAAGGTGGGCTTGGCTGGCTCACCTTTGCATAGGCAAGCGGGGTTAGGGCTAGACTTTGCACCCTAGTTTTTGGAGGTTCAGATCCCACATTCTTCCACTACACGAAGCTGCCCTGCTGGTTTAGACAACACCCCCAGCAGACCCCCAATACCCTGGCTGCTCAGAACCTCCCAGGCCCCCTGAACTTCCCCACAGCTGAGTGGTGAGAACTGGTCCAGCAGGGGCCATGCCCTACGGCTGCTGAATACTCGGATGAGCCCCACATCCTTAGCTACAGCTCCAGGCAGTCACTGGACCGGGGAAGGGCTTGGCTGGATCCACACCTGGGCCAGGCCACCCCATTCTCAGAACCACTCTGAACAGCCTCTCAGACTCTGTTTTGGGCCCTGTGGGAAGCTGCTTCTGGAGGAAAGAAAAAGGCAATCTTCTGCTTCTGGCTCTGCCCAGAGGTGGGAACCTTCAAGAACCAGCCTCTCTATTCAGACCTGCTGGCTCCCAAATCTCCAGGTGAACAGGGGATGGAAACTGGACACAAGGACTGACCTTCCTGAATGCTGTTCCCTAAATAGAGATAAAGTCCAGAAAAATTTTAAGCCAAGTCCCAGTGGGTAATTTGAAACTTGCCAAGTCCTTTTTTCTACCCAGGGTGGAATTGCCTTCTCAGGTGATGAATGGATCCCTCCAGCCTGGGTTTTCTATCTGTGGTGGCCACACTGAGTTATCTGAGCTCAAATGACAAAACAAAGGCAGCAGGTGCTTTGAGCCTCAGGAGAGGGGCTGTTTTCACGGTGGCTGTAAGAAGAAGGGCAGGGCTCTCCAGAGCCCATCCTGGCTGCTGTTGGGCTGGGCAGAATGTAAGGTTTCCTTCCCAGTGGAGGTTTCAGAGCAAGTTATAAATGATAAGTTATAAATGGAAAGGCACTGTGGTGACGACCATACCTCTGCCACCAGGACAGGATAGATTCCAGTGTCCTGTGTCCTTTGTGCTTGTAATATAGGCCAGAGGAGCAGAGTCTGAAGGGGGGTTTCTGAGGCGAGAGGAGCAAGTGGCCAGAGACCGAGAAATCCCACTGACAAAACTGATTCACTCCTCATCACCCCACACCTCCCCCAGATTTGGTCGGAGAGGGCCTCCTGCTCAGCAGGCCCAGGAGAGACATCACCCACACACCCCAGTGTGATCATGGAAGCTGCTACGGGGTGAAGTGCAGATCAGACTCCCAGATAATAATGCACCATGAGCTCTGCAGGATTTTCAGCGTTTAAGGTCAGAAAGTGCACCCTGATCACAGATGAAGTCCCTCCACTGCAGTCACCGTATTCCCGCTGCAGTGCATGCCCCCCGGTCCTCAATAAATCTGTCATTTTATCTGGTCCCTTTACTTAGTGTGAATCCGTCCTGGAATCAGTCCCTTTACTTAGTGTACCTTCACTGCAAGGGTCTCCATATTAGTGCCCTGTGTTTATCTAGTGCTTGGAGGTGTCCAGAAGGGACAGTCCAGCGTGAGCAGTCTGGGAAAGGACCTGCAGGGCAAGCTGGGTGTTCCCTGATGCCTGCAGGCAGCTCGTCCTCCTGTAGCCAGTCCTGATTGCTGTGCACAGTTCCCTTCCTCCTGGGTTCTGGGCTGCTTGAGAGCAGGCAGGGTTGGTCGGCAGAGGGCCCCACTTTGCTAAATAGAGGTAGGAGGAGTGTATTTTGTCAAATGGAAAGGAAGCCAGGGCTGGGCTCCGCTGCCGCTGCCGTTCTGACTGGGACAGGAGCACGAGGTTTTGTTCCTACAGCGAATTCTTGGAGAGAGATGAAGAAATACTTGCCTTCAATGTTCTATTAGGCATTCTCAGCTGCGTCCACTTTTCCTTTTTCTTACATACTTTCATTTGGTGTTAATGCCATAGATGGAATCTTTCCTAACCTCGAGTGATGGGGAAACCGCCCATATGGGATTGGGCATTTACTGTTGTGTTGATTGTGTACAGCTTCTCTTTACGACAGAGATGAGACGGGGCTTTCCCCGTCCCCACCCTGCACCCCACAGCTCTCTGATTCCCCGTCATCTGGGGCCACGAGGAGGGGGGCATCTCTGACACTTACCCAGCAGACGCATCAGCAAGAACTGTACTCCGATGGCAAATGACTTTTCCTCCTGGTTCACCACGCTGAAAAGGCACACAGGAAATCAGCAGTGGGCGGACTCAGGGCTGTGCCTTCCCCCCACCGGGGCAGCCACAGCCTCAGGGCGCGTCGGAACCTGCCCTCACGTGGCCTGGCTGGGTTCCCCGGGGCCCCGAGCTCCCGTTGCTCCTCTCAATGGTTCTCAAAGCATGATCACTGGACCAGCAGCGTCAGTATCCCCTGGGAACTTATTTGCAAGGCAGATTCTCAGGCCTCGCCTCAGAAGAAGAGTCAGACACTCTGGGGATGGGGCCCAGCGATCTGTGTTGGAAGAAGCCCTCCAAGAGATTCTGTGCACACTCAGGTTTGAGAACCACTGGTCTCTGTGATTTTCTGGGCTGCCCAGAGCCCCCTCCAAGAAGCAAAGGGCAGAGCGTCTGGGAGCGGAGAGGATACTGAAGGCTGTGTTTATGGCCGCAGGTCTGAACAGCTCCTGTGGTGTTTATAGCAATAGAAGACAGCCCTGATACTAAGTATAATTAGGGCCCCTGGGCTGTCGGCTCCTGTGTGCAACTAAAAGAATCCTCTACTCTGGGCCGGCTTCGTGGGCATGCGACCTGTGTGGCCTCACAGGGCCCCACCCTCAGAAAGGTCCCGTGTTTGCTTTAGTGCTCTGCTGTGGCTGGCTTGAAATTCTTAATAATTTTCAAACCAGGAGCCTTGCATTTCCATTTTGCACTGGGTCCTGAAAGTTATGCAGCCAGTCGTGCTCCCACCCTTCTTCTCTAAAGAGGAGAAAAGTGCTTGGCTGAGGAAGGAGGTTCAGAGAGAGAGGAGGCAGGCTGTCTGGAGGAGGTACCACCAGGCCCTGTCATCCCGGCTGGGCGTGGAGCAGAGCGAGGACACGCCCTTCCACGAGGTGGGGGGCCAGGGGCGGGCCAGCTGGGGCACCAGGCTCCCCTGTGCCCTGAGTACACACACTCCTGAGCGGGAGCTGGCTGGGGGAAAGCATTCGGGGGCTGAGGGGCCAGCAAGGGAGGGAACTCAGAAGTAATCCCCAGGTCTCTGCACACGTTTTGTTTTACCTCCATAGTTCTGCTAGCAAACTGGAAAGGGACCTTCTTTCAGCTTCTCAGAATACCCACTGGGGTGAAGCAGCGGGGAAGCACCCACTGGGATCCCCCAAGTGGGAAGTGCCTCAAATCTCAAATCTCATGGACACTCCCTTAATTGCCCATAGATGCCTTCAGTGGTCCAATCCATAGTAGAAGCTTCTGTGTCTTGGTCCTTATCCCTGGGCAGACTCCTCTGGATTCTCAGCTAAATGGGACTTGGGAACCCCAGTTTGGCTTCTGATAGAGATTTTGAGTTCCTTGTACTCTCTGTCTCTTCAGCCCCGAATTAACGCTGGCTCTCTGACCTCTCTTTCCTGATACATTTTCGGCAAACCTTCACTCCCAGCCTGTATTTCCATGCCTGGCTGGAGGCCACGACTGATACAAATAAGGTTTGGGTAACCTACAATGCCATCGTTAAGCCTCCCCTTCTCCATACTACACAGCATCCATTCTTTCATCTTTCCCAGTGGGATTTATCTTTAAATCATTTTGGGATACTGGGGCCTCTTCTCCAATTTCACTCCAGCCCCTGACCAGAGATTTTCTAGAAAAGCCCACTCTGTGGTTGAAATGGTGCTTTGCCTCCACTACTTCCCCATCCCTGGGGCTTGATCTAACAGGGATGCCCTCTGGGAGGGCATCTAACAGGGATGCCCTTCTCTGCTGCTCAGGGACTTCCTTATCCTATTCCCTCTCTTCGTCATGGCCACCCGCACACCTTTCTCAGGATCACTGGGTCCACCATGGTCCATCTGACTTGGGGTGCAAGAAGGGAAGCCCACTCAGGGGCCTTGGGTGAAAGCACGGGTACTTGGAATGCACGGATGGGGAGCAGTGGAGGAGAGGGTGGTGCTCAGAGGCAAGGTGCTCCCAGCGTCCCTACACAGTCTTGCGGAGTATGCTAAGAATGCAAGATCCTGACTGTTCGCTTCGTGGGCCATTTCCCAGGGTTGTGGCTGCAACGAGCATCCTTGAGGCATGAGGTAAAATCTTCTAGACCAGCAGCAGGCTTGGTCTATATAAGCAGTGGCTCTCCTAAGCTCAGTGTTCCTTAGCTGTGACCTACACCCACTGCAGGCGAAACATACACCTGAGCCCCTCCACGTCACCCAGTAGGACTTGGGGGGCATGGATAAATGATGCAGCATGAGGTTCACACTGCTTGCTGTGCTGTGAGCAGCAAAGTCCTTTGGCTTTGACCCGGGAGTCTCCCGGCCTCTGCCAGCATCCTTGTGCAACAGTAACAGAAACAGGAGCTTGGTAGTTTGCAAGCTAACTTGTAAATAAGGTAAAATCCCAGACCCTTCCTCATCTCCTAGTCTTCTGGGGAAACTAGGTCATTGCCACCTAGCTGGCTGATAATAGTAATAGCAATAACAATAATTTGGTTAATAGTGATAATTAACCAATATGCAGAGCACCTTGTATTTACAAAGCAATTTACCATATAACCCTGACACCAATCCTTCGAGGTCAATATCATTAACCCCCTTTCATCCACGAGGAAACTGAGACTCGGTGAGGTGGGCAACACCCAAGGACTTTCAGCCAGTACACGGCAGAAGTGGGCCTTTGACCCTGGCCCTGGGCTTCCAGATCCTGTGCTTTTCCCTCTCTGCTTGCCAGACGGATGAGGACACGAGGGAGGCAGACAGGGGGTGAATTATGCCCACTTGGTTGAAACCTTATTTTCTCCTTCGCCGAGGGTGAGGTGAAGGGAGGTCATTCCCTGTCCACACCTCAGGGGCACCTCAGTGCTGTTGTAACAGGATACCTCTGTCCTCCCCTCCCACCTGGCCAGCCCCTCCCTTCTGACCTGGCTCCTAGCACACTGCGCTTTTCTCATTTCCATCCTTTCCGTGGCCCTCATTCTGTCTCTGGAACCTTCCTCATTTTCCTTCCCCGATTTTATGTATCCAACTGAATTCTCCTCCACCCTCTCAGTTCTTTTAGGACTTGAAGATAAATGAATCTACAGGTGTGCAATCAGGCAGCCTGGCTTGGTCACGTGGCTCAGCCGTCAGGCTCTGCCCTCCCTGTGCGGGATGGAGGCACAGGGACCCCGTGAGACACAGAGTGAGGCTGCAGCGAGGGACTCCCAACAAGCCCGGCATAGAAGCCCCCGCCACTGGCGCACCAGCATTATCTCCCTGTATCACCCCAAGAACGTCCAAGGACACTGAGGGGCACGAAAGGCAGGAGAGCTGACAAGGGGGCAGCTGGGCACGAAGTGAGGGAAGCGTGGGGAAGGAGAGGCACACTCACCGCAGCACCATCATGTAGAGAGGGTTGTGGGAGATGCAGGCTATGAGCGCCACAAAGGAGATGAGGAAGATGGCCGGGAGCAGGAAGTGGGCGCAGGGGATGGGGCACGGGCCCGTCTTTGCTGAAGCGGATCCTCCTTTCACGCAGCTGCAGTTCGAGTAGGTCTTGGAAGGAGAGGGAGGGGAACGGGGGAAACCTGCTGTCATTATTTCGATTCCACATACTTTTAAATGCCTGCTCCAGCTCTCGCTCCTCTGCCCTCCCTGGGGAGCTGGTGATGCTGGATGCAGAGGTTGGACGGGAGACCAGGTGGGGGTTTCAGGTGCCCCATGGATCCTGCCTCTGACCACTATTTGGGCAACAGAAACCATCTTTACCAAAACCAGTTGTCCAGCGTGGGCTGGGCTCTTCCCGCAGTTACACCCGCATCGGGATATGTAGGATTCCACTGCCAGGCACGGCCCATCCAGTGGGGACCGGGGCCTGGGAGGGCCCTCCTCTGGAGCAGCAGTGGTTTTGTGGGTTGCTGTTTTTGCTCTTTGTGTGTTTACTTCAGGGATGTTAAAGGAGGATAAAAATAGGAGGAGATAGCAGTGGGAACCCAGAGGAATCTACTGTACTTTCTGCCTGAGAGGAATTCTTCCTGTCTGCAAAGGTCTCTGTCTCAAGTCTGCAAATCCATACGGCTCAACACTGTTGTATAGCTCTCCTTGGTGGCCACTGCCTGTCAGGTGGCCTTCACCTTTTCTCTCACATTGTCTGATAGACCAGCCTATGGTCCAATTACTGTAAGTGTCAAAGCAGTTATAGGGGCAAGATTAGAACTAATGAACTGGTATGCTTCCTTCTACCAGGCATTGGAACTATGTACCCTTTTTACTTTGGCTGCTAGGAAGCTCATAGTTAAGTTATATACAGTGTTGCTGCTACCTCCCTCAGTCTGGATTTTTTTAAACATAGATACTTTTCCTTATAATTTGCTATTTTTTCTTGATATTATGCTAATGGATTTTGGTCTTGATGTGCTTGTGCTGTTACTGGAAACCTGTCAAGATTATTTCTGGAAATAGATGTCAGAGGTAAGTAAATAAAGATAAGAAAACCACAGAAGCCACCACAGGCTCCTCCAACTAGAAGGCAACTGAGAGAGCATCTTGTCCAAGTTCTTTGTCCTCCTGCTGCCTGAGAACCACGCTCCTCTGTCCGCAGAGCTGGCTGTGGAAGCAGCCTTGTCCTGTCCTCTCAGGGGAGGATGGTAAATGGGTGTAGCCTTGCCTGTGCCCTCCACACAGGCTTAAAGGAATAAGATGCATCCTCTCCTTAGGGCATCCTCAGGGGAACTGCACAGACTTCCCAGTGCTCTTAGGAAAAAGAACATCCAAATCCTAACCTGACCCCTGCCTGCTCCCTGGCCGAGCTGGGTATGACACTTCTCCTCACTCCCTGGCAGCCCTGGCCTTCTCTCTTTTCTCCTGTGCCAGCTCATTCATGCCCTGGGGCCTTGCAGCTGCGTTCATTCTGTTCCTTTCACTCCCAGGTCTTCATAGTGTTTTCTTCTTCGGGTGGTTCAGTTCTCATGTCACCTCCTCAGGGAGGCCCCCAGGCATTCTCTGTCCCATTAAGTCTCTTCATGGCATGGGTTACTTTCTAAAACTCCCTTGTGCATTTATTTGGTAGAATACAAACTCATGAGGGCAGGGACCTGGGCTGATGGGTTCCCCCCTGAATACTTAGCACCCGTGGCTGTGTCTGGTGTTTACTAAGTATTTGCTGAATAACCGCACAAACGACTGGACTTGGTTTGCTGCTGTCTGGTCCTGGGAGGCTGGGAGCCGTAGTGCTCTGAGGGCTGGCCAGGACCTCACCAAGTTAGCCTGGTGAGTGTGGGCTACCTGAGTGGGAGGCTGTGGCCGGGAGATACCTGGCCTTGCACGGACATGCCCCAGGCTGAGGCAGCACCCTGAGTTCTAGTCTCAGATCTGCTCCTAAATAGCTTCAGACTTCAAGCCAGTTGTGTGGCCATAGGTGAGTGTCGAGAGGGATTGAACCCAATGACCTCTATCACCACTTCTGGCTCTAAGCTTCCAGGTCCACATCACAGACGCCCTCTGCCCTCGATTTATCTGGGCCAGTCCATGTGGCCTTGCAACACTGCCAGGACACAGACAGGCCCATCAGGATCCTTCAGGGTGAGACTGGCAGTCCTCAGCTGAAGGAATGCTCTGGCTTGTTTCTGCTCTGAGCATTGTTAGGCCTCAGGAATGTGAATTTGTTGGACATCGGCCAATCTTTAATTGACTTTAGGCTGTAGACATCTGGTCATGACCCTAGGGAAGGGGAGGTGGAGAGAGGGTGGGTGTGGCCCAGAGGCCAGGATGCTGGGAATGAGTGGGGTGGAGCCCTGCCCATCCCGAGTGGAGGAGCAAGCTGCAGGGGCACACACTCGGCAGTGGCCCGGGGCCCCTCCGGCCCTTACCGGTTGCTTGGAGACTATAGAGCTGACGTTGATTTCACTGCAGCCAGCATGGCAAGGGGAGAGGTACTCAACCCCATCGTCTCCACAGACCGGGTGGAAGATGGAATCTGGGCACGAGCAGTCCCTGCGGCAGGCGGGAGGCTGTGGATGTATAGAACTTGATGTGCTGCCAGCAAAACAGGAAATGGGAATCAAACAAAGCAAGACCAAAGGAAAACCTCTCCACTCCAGCCCAGCGTGAGTTCCCCGCCTGGTTAGTGTGCCTGTGCGTCTCTGTTTGTCTTGGGCCAGTGCCACCCAGGGATCTGAATTATGTCTATTGGAGCCAACAGTGAATTTGGCCAGTGTTCATGGCACCTCTACTTCTTCTGCTAGTAGGATCCCAAACTACTAGTCGTTGGAAATGCTTGGTTGGCAAATCCCCCACTTCGGAAGGGGTCGAGACAGCCAACCAGTCAGGACTCTGATGAGAGAGATGGCAGATGCTATGGGAGAGTCACAGGCAATAGTTTCCCTTCCCTTCTCTTTCATCTGAGCTCGGGCTGAGGCCCCTTGAGGCAATCCAGGGTCTAGATGGCTCCCGTCTCTGGGTCTATGTAGCCATCACCCAGGTTACTCCATTCCCCTGAGCTTCAACCAAGGGATTTCACTGGCTGATCTCACCAATCTTACCATATCTGATATTCCTGATCTTCTTAGGGGAGGGTCGGGATTGGGGCCGATAAACCACAGTTCAGAGCTTTGCTAAAATAATTATACTAATCCTAGTTAATGGGCATCTCTCATGCTCCAGGCACTGTGCCCGAGGGCTTTTCATGCGTGCCAGCCATCGCAGTATTAGTGGTGCTCCTTTTGTGGATGAGGAACCTGAAGATTAGATAAGTTAAGTAACTTTCCCCAACCAGTAAAGAACAGTGCCAGAACTAGGACCTGGTCTGATGACAAAGCCCCGTGCTAAACTCCCAGTGAAAGCCTTCTTGGTCTCTCTCAATCCACAGCCAGAAGACCAGGACAAACCAGGGGGTGGGGGGGTCCCATCCTGAGTGACACTCCCTTCCCTCATACCCACCAGAGACAGGAGAGTTTCTTTCAAAGAGAAAGAGAAAACACCAAGGCTGAAAAGTATGGCATCTCCAAGTATTGCAACCTCACCGGGCAAAATCTTAAAGAAGAGCTGTTGAAAGGTGGCTCCCAGGAAAAAAGTAACGGCTCCTTGCTCAGCACACTCCCTCATGGGCCTCAAAGCCCTTCCTGTACACATGAAGCCAGACTTAGAACTTAAAACCATGTTGCTTTATGCAAACCGACAGGTATACTTTACCTGCCCTCTTCCTCACCTGCCCTAATTTTTCAAGTCTGCCATCACCTTCCTTGTTCTTTCTCAGATCTTTGCAGGTCTCCGTCTCTCATCTTTCTTTGACAGCTCAATAAGACTCTGTAATTTTAGCCGGTACAGAGTGGATGCTAAAGGTAGCTATTTCCTGGTTCCTGAGGCTCACAGCACTACAGATTCATCCTGAAACCAAACTAATTAGTTTTTGGTGCTGCTTAAAAAACCGAACCCTAACCCTGATTGCTGGTGCCCCACTAGGACCCTCTGATTTCTTCTCATAATTGAGCACACTATTCAAGATCTGATTTTCTCAGTTGCCACATAAGAGATTAGATCAGCAAGGGAAAAGGAGAGAGGACAGTTGAAGAAGCAGAAAGGAAGACGTGTGGCAGCCACAGACAGGCTCTGGCCCCAGCCTCATTCCCACTACCTGCGGGGGTTGACCTCTGCCACGACTGGGGTGGAGCAGCCCATGAAGAACAGAGGGGCACAGAGGATCATGGAGATGGTGATGATGGTGGCAGCCACGCGGGGAATGGTTTGCAGAGAGAAAACAAAACGCTTCATGAGGATTCCTCCAAACAGCATCCCCAAGGCCGCAGCAGGGAGGTTCACAGCACCTACAGACGGAGAGAAGCTGGTCTGGGTGCACAGGCCTCGCAGTGTGTGTGGGCCGCACACTGAGCTGGACCACAGAGAAGGGGGCATGGCTTCCTGAAGCGACATTCAATATGATTAATTGCAATAGTAATAAACGACATTAATTGAGCATTTACTGCAGAGTTATCTTGACATGGCAGACTGCCCTGCCTGTGCCAAGAATAAAGAAAGAAGTGGGGCCCTTGCAGCCAGAGGGATGTGGGTTGAATGTGCACTTATTAAGCGCCTTTCATTACCTGGCCCGTCCTTGAACTATGATCACATGGGGTTAGCAAGGCACTGGTGGCGCTCCCTGCCTGATGTGCTAGTCAGAGGCCAAAGGCTAGAGGCGTGAAGTCACAGCCAAGAGCCACACAGGAGGCCAGGGGTCACGCCCTGACCACCTTGCCACTTCCACATGGTCAAGCTCACCTGTGAATTGGGCCCCATAATTCCCTTGGGTACTTGGTGGGACCACATCAGTGCTTCTCACCCTCAGCTGCAAAAAACACCGATGCTGGATGCTGGACATTCTGCTTTCATTGATCGAGGGTGGGGCCTGGGCGTCCGTATGTCTTAAAGCTCTCCAGGGGAGCCTAAAGTGCAGCGGGGATGGAGAATCACTGGGCCCCATACTCCTTATCCAGGTGAATGTCTTCAAGTCATTGGAGAAGAAGGAAAAAACCCAGAGGCATCTTGCCCAGCCCCCAGTTCAATCCTCTCTCTTTCCTTTGTCGCCTCTGATGATGTCAGGGCCTTTGGGAGGCAGTCAGGCTTTCAGCCCCTCTGACAGGGTGGAAGTCATCCCCCAGCCTCCACCCACTCCTGTCTGGAATGATAGGGGCCTAAGAAATCTGCCAACCTGGAAGAATGCCAACCTAGACTGCCAGCCTGGAAGAATGTCCTTAAAATTCTTTCTCTCGGGCAAGAACCCTCTGGCTCCTGCCTGTGTCCGGTCTGGGGGCTCCTAGCCCTGGGGGGGTGGCGGGAGGGCCCAGCTGCGGCAGCACCCAGGGGACTCACCGATGAGGAAGTTGGCATAGGCCGCGGAGGCGCCGTACTGCTTCTCCAGGAACTTGTTGAGGAAGGTGGAGAGGCCGGCAATGACGGAGGAGAAGGTGCACTGGGCCAGGACCACCAGCATGAAGAGTGGGCTCATCAGGAGGCTCAGGAAGATGCGGGGGAACCCTGCCAACAGGCTGCCATCAGGGCCGGGCCTCCGGGCAGCGGTCACAGGGTCCGCGACACCGGCCACTGCCCTTCCTCCCCCCGGCCCCCCTCCAGGCAGCTCCTCTCTCTTCCTCAGGGCAGAATCCAGGCCCTGAGCTGTTCAGTGGCCTGTTGGGGGCACACAGCCACTCGGACTCCACTCAACATGCTCATGGGCTGAATGAAAGGAGGACAGGCCTGGAAGAAGTCAGGCGGAGGGTGATTGTACATGATGGCCGCATCCATGGGAAGGGAGGGGAGAGGAGAACGTGGGCCAGGCGGTGTGGGTGGGGCTACCTCTGTCTGAGTTTGGGTCTCCTGCTATCTGCACAGCAGCAGTCACCAGGGCCCCTGGCAGAGCCCCTCGTGAGGGGTTGGCCAATTTTAGACCACCTGCTTTTAGTGCCCCTCACCACACCTACCACCACTTGGGCTGGGCTACCCCGGACCGCCCCCACCCCAAGCCAGCCCTCCCAGGGCTGCCGGGTCACTCAGTTACGTTTAATGAAATCCACCAGGGAGCTTCTTGACTTGGCCTCTTCCATCTTCCTTGCCTCATCCGCTATGGTAGGAGTCCTCTGAAGGCAGCGAAGGGGGTGAGGGTTAATGACCCAGGTTCCCTGCAGCCACCTTCCCTGGGCCCTTGATCCTCTGGTCTTAGTGGCTCAGGGCTGGGCAGTGGTCAGCCACCCCGAGTGTGCGTGGGAGGGCGTCCAAAGCCATCATCATCTGTGTGTCGGCGAGCCCGTGCTTGGCCCCCGACCAGGACGCATCCATGCCAGGGCCTCCCAAGATATTATTTCATACCATCTAACAGCTGGCTGATGCCAAAAGGCATCTGAGTGGATCTCACCCCTCGTCTGTCTGTCATGGCTACACTTCTTTCCTGTCCTCGGATTCCAGGGGCTGTGGGCTTCTGGGACGCTCTGGTCTAGAATGACCTCTGTTTTCCAGCTCTCTCTTTCAGTCTCCTCTATGGAGTCCCTTCTTTCTTCTGGGCCCAAACTTGGGTCCTGTTCAAGGCTCTGACCTGGCTCTCGGCCTGCACTTTCTGTGCAGACCTCCTCATTGAACTCGCCTTCCACTTCTGAACTTGTTAGCTGCAGCCTGAGGCCCCCAGCTCTGGACCACCACACAGACGCAAGGCCCCTGAGCTCTGACACCATTAGGATCCCCCAGGGACTCATCAGCAGGCCTAGGAGCTCCCATTCATCTAGTGCTTTCTCCACGGTGGGCACCACACCCAGCGCTCTGCGTGCAACCTCCCATTCCTCACAACCTCCTCCCAAGATAGGGACTCTATCTCCAGTATTTTAAAGCGGAGGAGACTTAGGAGCAAGGAAACTTGCCTAGGATCCCTCAGCTAGTTGACAAGTAGCAGAGCTGGATTCAGATTTGCCTTCCCCCAAAACCACCCCGATGTGCTGCCAACCTCTGAAATTCTTCCTCAAGACAAGCGGAGGCCCCTCTACCCTCGCCCCTCCTCCAAGCTGGGCCTAGATCTCACACACCTCATTGCCAGACGTCCAGCTCTGCCTCTGGCTCTGAACCTCAGCACAAATTTTTGCCCCTCTCAGCTCACTGCTGAGTCCTTCTCGGCACCCCCTCCGAGGACATCTACCCCTGCCCTTGCCTCATCTGTCCGGCAGCCATGGCCTTGGTCCTCAGCTGCATCCCCCATCTCTACACTGGCCTCATCAGATCTCCAGCCTTCATTCCTTCCCAACTCTCCAACCTCAACCTTGACCCAGCTGCCATGTTGTCACCTGAGTGGGCACCAGTCACTCAGAATTTCATGGGATCAGAACAAGTTTTAGACCCTTCAGTCTAAGGTCAAGGCCCCCACCCAGACTTCTCCCCACTGTTTTCCATTCTCATCCTTCCCTGATTTCTTTCCCCAACAGATATGACTGGAAGATGCAGGGCAGGGCAGTCGGCTCAAAGTATGCTCCACTCACAGCCCACCCTCACGCTCTGCAGCGCTAGGAATCCCCTTCTTACTCAGTCCTTTAGGATTAGACACGACCGGCCCTATCACATGCAAAAGTCAACTGCTCCAGGTCACATATGCAGCTTTTATTGGCTCTTAATTCTTTATCCCACTTTAGATGAACTCAGTGTTTCCCCAAACTACATTCCCTGGAGCCCTCCTAATCTCTGAGATGCTAACACGGTAAGGGAACACTGATGAGATACCATCTTTTGGAAATTCACAAGCACTCTCACCTCCCAAAGTCTCTCAGAAGTCCTGTATCATGAAACTTGTTTAGATTTCACCCAGAATTTACTTAACCTGCTGCAGCTTCTCAGCTCTGTTTATTTTCTACCTCTACCTACTTTTATGAAACTCTCATAATAGGTAGAATTGTGGGTTCTCAGAAGCTTACCTCCATTCCTCTGGGCATTGCTCGAGGAAAGAAAAAAAAGGGGAAAGAGGTAACAACCAGGCAGGCTGAGGAAATGAGCAGACCCAGCCACCAGGCTCCTATCCATCGGGGGTCTCCGGGGCTCAAGTTAACTGCAGCTGAAGAGAAAACAAAGGACACAAGTGTTTGTTGGATGAATGCATGATGTCACCTTACTGATCGGGGGAACTTTCTTCCCATGATGCAGAAGAGGTAAGCTGTGAGCTAGCATCTTCATCCAGTCGGCGTTCTCTCTCCAGGCCACTCTGGTCTTCTCAGAGAACGGAGGCCACTGGGAGGATCAGTGAGGTTAACTCCGGCCTGCAAGCGCCATTTCATTGGTCAATTTTCAAACCCATGCATGTATTCTTGGTTTCCAAACCCGCACTCTTAATCACTGGATGCTACTGCCTCCCAGCTTTATTGATCCCTAAGAAAGGAGGCCTCATAATCCTTAGATGCTCAAAAAAACAACCACCAACAGAGTAGGCTACCAGGCCTCTGAAGGAGATGCTTTCTTCTTTGTAGTCTCCCATCCACGTCTAAGGGTCTGCCACTGTGTTTCTCTCTGTAAAGAAACTACATGGGCATGGAAGGAGGGAGAAGATAGCAGAACAGCCCTCAGCCCAACACTGTCCTGGGCACTGTCCCTGGTGGCCTGGGAGCTCAGTTGTTAGTCTCTTTGGGCAAGGAAGAGCCAGGACCCAACTCAGGAAGTGCCAGTGAAGGGCAAAGATGGCTTGACCCTGAGCAGACAGCTCTGTTAGCTTTGCCCTTTCATTTGAAGTACAGGTGGATGACCCTGAGCAGATGACCTTGTGGTCAGACAGTTCCAGGGACAGGAGTCTATGGGCTCTGGCAGCATGACTGGGTTAAAGCCTGCCCACATTCTTTGTGAGACAGGCAGGTTCTGATCTGGGTGCTGGGCACTGGGGGGTGGGGGTGGGGTGTTATTCCTGAAGGTCTGGCTTGGACCTGCCTTCCAGCCACATCTGGCCTGTGGGAACTTACGTATCACCCACACACGCCCCATGCATTGCCCCCCTTGGCTCTGCCCGGATGGTTTCCTCCACTGGGAAGGCCTCTCCCATCACCACCTGTGTAATTCCACCCACATGGGATGCAGACCTCACCTCCCTGGGAGGCCCTCCCTCATCACCTCATCAAGTACTTTGTCTGTCCCTCTGTTACACTGCCAGCCTTCCCTGCCTTGTGGGAGGCTGGGGTGTGTAAGGCAACCTCACAATAACCATATGCCCTTGCAGGGTCCATCCTGGGGTCGGCTCCCTGAACGGTTAACTCAGTACGTGTGCTCCTGTCTATGGACTGTACTTTCTCATCCTAAGATACACAGTGGCTTCATCCAGATCACTTTTTAAAGAGCTCACTCCTGTCAACCTCAATGTATATCAGGCATGTTCTAAACACTGCAACATCTCTATTTCCCTATCATTAGCCCCTTTTTACAGATGAGGAAACTGAGGCACAGAAAGGATGAAGGTACTTGCCCAAGATCACTCAGCCAGTAGAGGAGGTGGAACCAGGATTAGACACAGGCTCTCTACTACCTGTGCCCACATGGTTAAACACGATGTTACACCCCTCTGGATGGGAGTCATAATCCATGTGTGTACTCTATGTAGTGCTTCTTCTTTTCCCAAAAGAGCTCTTACCAATATTTTTTCAAGCAATCAAAACCATCTTAGAATCATAGAGCTCTTTCTAATACCACCACCAAGACAGGCAGCTGTGGTGGCAACACCTGAGGCCCTGCCCTAGGTCTCAAGGTTTCCCGCTGCAGAAAGTGTGCTTTCTTAGGGCATAAAGTGTGTTTTCTTCAGCAGCGCATCCCCCTTGCCCACCCCCACCCGCTGGAGAGAGGAGGCCCACCTGTCCGCTGACTACAGGAGGGAGGGAGGGAGTGGGTGGCGAGGGGGCCGTGAGCATTTAAAGTTCAAGCTTCATCCTTGTCCTGACCGGCTGGGGGTTGTGGTCCTGGCACACACTCACCTGTGTCCACTCTGCCGTAGTCCACAAAGATCTGTAGCATGACCGAGCCCAGCAGGTACCCGAAAGCCGGTCCGAATACAGAGATGGCAAATAAGATGGCTGGAAAGGGGAGGAGGAAAGGAGGCTGAGAGGGATTGAGAGGGTGGCAGCCTCGGGCTCTTTCCCTTGCTGAGGGCTTCCTGAGACATCACCCCATCTGTCCCCTGGCCCTGACAGGTCCACACCTGTGGCATTTACTACAGACACTCAAGATCCTGAGATGTGCGGAACCAAAGTTGTTTCTCCTCCAGCCAGATGCCAGAGAGATCCGCTTGCTGGGACAGAAGCGACCTCCTCGGCATTTACAGATGCTGGCCCAGGTGCATGTTGGTGGGCAAATCTCCTTGCAGGTACAGTGTGGCAGTGGCAGCCCTGGGGGAGCTTGTGGGCCACAGAGCCTGTGGGTGTGGTCTGTCTGGTCTGGGCCATGGGCCCTGAGGATGCTCAGTGTGGCTTGTTCTAAGGGAAGGACTTGGTCAGTCAGATGGTCATGTGCTATCTGCTTTGCATATGCTTCTTTGAGGCCAAACTTCTCCCTAAGTGGATGGCTCAGAGAACATGTGTGCCCAGCCTGTGCCCAGACGTGACAGACGCAGTAGCTACTGCTGGTCAAGGAGCTGCCCGGTGCCTGCCCTGGGACCAAGGGCTCACATACATCGCCTCAGGTACTCCCACGTCCCCAGTGCACAGAGACTGTGGGCCCCATCCTGCTGGTGAGGAGCTGGGGCCTGGGCTGGGACTCAAACCAGGTGTGTCAGATCCCCAGACCTCTGCACGCATTGGCTGGGCCACGTCAGGACCCGCCCCCATCCCGCAGCCCTCTTCAAGCCCGACTCACAGATGTACAGGGGCGAGTTGTTGGGCTCCGAGAAGTCGTCCACATAGGAGATCCCGAACGGCTGGATGGGCACCGTGCCGATGCCTGCCAGCAGCTGGGCCACCACCATCAGACCCCACATGCTGCTGGTCTCCTTCCGGGAGTCCTGGGTGCTGCTGTGGCACCTGCTGGGGGGCAGGCCCTGCCAGTGTTTCTGACAGAGCTCAGTCTGGAGGCGGCTGCTGTTCCCTGCAATGAGACAGAGGGCGCCCGTCACCCCCACCCTGGAGTCCTGGCCGCATCAGCTGGCTTCCAGACCCGGACTTTCTCTCAGGCCTTCTGGGAGCGGAGGGGAGAGGGTGGGCTCCCTGCCCTGAGGCGGCGCAGCCCTTGTCGGGTGTGAGAGCCATCCTCGTCTCCCGGGGATCCATTCCTTCTCCTCTCTGGGTACAGGTGGGGGGTTGGGCATGGAGGGATCAGTACCTTCCTCCCTGGGAAAGAGGGAGCCAAGGTCAACACCCAGGCTTGTCGGCCTTCAGCGTCCCTGTGCGCAGCCTCAGGCTCGGGCCCCCAAGGTGTGGTTCACTTTAGCAGGACAGAGGTCATTCTGTCCCACAGAAGATGGTGTCACCCCCAGCCTGGGATGCTCACCGGGGGTCATGACCCCCAGAGCCCTCACTCCTAGATGAACCCGGCATTGGGTCACGCTAAAGAGCCCTGTTGTCAAAGGCATTGAACGTGCTTACCCAACCTGGCAGCTCCCAAGGATCAAGAACCTGGGAAGCTGAAGGGACTTTGAGACCCTCTGGTTTAAATCCTCCTGTTACAGATGGGGGGCGAGGCTGCACCCACAGGAGCTAGGCTGCACCTTCTGTGAGGGCCCCAGAGGCCGCAGTGTGGCCTGTGGGCACCAGTGCCTATGGCTTTGGGGACCTGGGCAGGCTGCACTGCCCCTCCCATGCCACTGTTTCCCATTTGGCTCACACTAAACAAAGAGCACTGTCAGCTCTCCGAGGCCTTGACGGCTCCTGAGGGCTCCTTTCCGTGAGATACCTTCTTTTCCAGCCTTGTAGAAGCCAATGGAAACTGCTAACATCACTGATCCCTCTCCTTGGAGTCCCGTTTCACTCTCATTTGTGGCCCTCCCAGAGGTGGCAGAGCTCTGAGCTGGGTGGGCCTCAGAGTCCCACAGAGAGGAAAAGTGAGGGCCGTGGACGGGATATGTCCATCACACTAGACTCTGCCCAGTGCTGTTGAGTTCAGGGCTACCCTGGACGGTGGGGCTGGGGAGGGATCTGCCCTCCTATCGTCCCCTAACCTCCCGCAGACACACATGCTTGTCCAGCCTGGCCCCAGCATCTCCTGTCCTCTATACTAGTGCCTGTGTAGGACATGTTTAAAAACCACTGGCCTAGGGGGCTCCCCCATCGATCAGGGGGCCCCTTGGCAAAGGGGGCCAAGACGCCTGTCTGGTTGAGGTCATCCAGACCTGACACCAGCCGTGTGCAGGGGAGCTGTGTGCACCCAGGCCAACGGCCAGCCCCAGACGTTTGGGAGTGTCCCTCTGTACCTTCACCCTCCCACTCCACACCCGCTGTCCCACCTTTCAATTCAGGGTTTGGATAGAGAGTGGTCTAACCACATGGGTAAATAGGAGGCGCCTCTTAGAATTAGAGTGGGGAGGTAGCCTTACTGACATGCAAAGACAGCTGTAACATCTTGTAGAGTCAAAAAATAACTAGTAGGGCTTCCCTGGTGGCACAGTGGTAGAGAGTCCGCCTGCCGATGCAGGGGACGTGGGTTCGTGCCCCGGTCTGGGAAGATCCCACATGCCGCGGAGCGGCTGGGCCCGTGAGCCATGGCCGCTGAACCTGCGCGTCTGGAGCCTGTGCTCCGCGACGGGAGAGGCCACAACAGTGAGAGGCCCGCGTACCGCAAAACAAACAAACAAACAAAAACTAGTAGTTTAGAGAAGAATATGATCCCTAATTTATAAAATGTATGCGGCCTAATGGAATATACAGAGAAAAACTCTGGAAGACCATGGTTCTCTCAGGGTGATGGGATTGTGATGATCTTTGTGTGTGTGTGTGCTTGCCTCAGTGTACTTTCTAATTTTTCTATAATGAACACAAGATACTTTTGAAGTAAAGCAACAGTGAAAGCTTTTAAATTAAAAATATTTTTTTCATAAAAATATAGAGCCAAAATGTAACAATGTCTCTCTCACTTCTTATTTCTTTGTTCCACAGCCATTGCCCTGGGCCTGCAGAAGTCAGGCCCATCACACTAGGGCTGAGTTTCTCTGCCCGCCCCACCTTCCCTGACGCCTCTCCTTGCTTGTGTATCGGGGCTTTCTCTGACTTACACGCTTTACTGTAGAGATCCAAGTTCCAGCGCCAGAATTTTTAAGTTTCTATTTACTGCACAGGCAGACACTGCCAAGGCTGTGACGTACATTTTGTCCTGTTCACAGGGGTTATTGGCCCACATAAGTGGCTGATCTGGGGCAGAGCTGGTATTTGAACCCATATGTGCCTGACTCAAAGTCCTTAATGAAATCAAATCTGAAATGGCAGTTTTGAAAAGACACAACACACATTTTTCAGGGATGGAGGAGCCAGGCCTGGGGAGAGTCCTCTACCCATCCCTAGTTACATTCAAACACATGAGCCCTCTGACCTCTGTAAGTGGCTGGGAACTTCCTCCCAGGTAGAGGTATCCTGGAAAGGGGCTGGCTGCTGGGAGTTTTGCTGAAATCCGAGACAAAGAGACGAAACAAACACATGGTATAAAGAGTCAAGAAATTGGCTTTGGTGAAATAAGCCAGACACAGAAAGACAAATACTGTATGATCTCACTTATATGTGGAATCTAAAACAGTCAAACACAAAGAAGCAGAGAGTAGAATGGTGATCGCCAGAGGCTTGGGGGAGGGGTAAATGGGGAGGTGATGGTCAAGGGTATAAGGTTTCAGTTATGTCAGATAAGTTCTGGAGATCTACTAGACAGCATAGCGCCTCTAGATAACAATACTGCACTGTATACTCAAAATTTACTAAGAGGGTAGAACTTAAGTGTTCTTAACACACACACACACAACACTAATAAAGGGGCAGGAGGAAACTTTGGGACGTGATGGATATGTCTGTGGCTTTGATGGTGGTGATGGTTTCATGGGTATATTCATCCTCAAATTCATTAAGTTTTATACATTACTATGTAGAGCTTTTTACATATCTCAATAGAGGTTTTTTTTTTTTTAAAGAAAGAAAAATTGGTTTTAGCCCCAGGTAGCTGTGTGATCTTGAGCAAGCTTCTGAACCTCTCTGAGCCTCAGTTTCCCTTTAGGCAGAGACCATAAGGTGGCCGGATAGGGAGAGTCCCTGTGGGTCATTAAAGTGCTAGAAGGCTATGGTTCCAGAAAGGGGAGCAGGCATGAAAAGTTGGACCCGCTGGTTAGTCAGCATGGCTGATGGCTGTGCCTGCCCCTTTGTAGGAAGGCTGGTGTGCCTCAGTGATGCTGCAAGGGCCTGATTCTCAGGATCGTCACTTTAGTCTGGAAGCACAAAGCTGTGAAATGTTCCTGCTGAGAAAGAGCCACTCCTCACCACACTCAGGAACCCTCCCACCAACACTGCCCCATGCCCAACACTCAGAGACGGGGCTGTGGTGCTGGCAGACTCACGCCCATCCCCAGGGGGAGGCCCAGGTGGCTGTGGGCTGGCAAGGCCTATAGATGTTGGAGCGGCTGGACTGGGAGCCTGGGACCTGGGTTCTAGTCCTGGATCTGACTCCTCACGTCAGTGACCTTGACTTTGAGAGACCTCAGAGGATTCTGGGGAAGGGGCCATGCACTGCAGAGGGTGGGCGGTAGCCGGAGGGCCAGGCTCACAGCACACTCCGTGCCCTCAGTGCGGCAGCCACACGGACACCCCAGCGGGTGAGCGTTTACACGCTGTGGGCTGTGCTAGTCTTTAGAAAAAGACCCCACTACCCTTCTCAAGACCATATGGGCAGGTTCAGGAATGAGGGCGGAGCTGGTTGCCTGGCCCTGGCCACCCTCTGACCCGTGCTACCAACTGGCCAGGTGCAGCTGTGTGGTCACTCAAACGGTTGGCCACTCACCCTGCTCACCTCCCTCCGCCAACTTTGACTGAGGTGACACACATCCAAAGGGCTTGTAAATTAAAAAGCTGCTCAAATGGGCAAGTTCTCAAATGGGCATTTCTTTTCAGAAGATTCAAACAAATTTCGAGTAGATTTTGTATCAGGAAATGAGCACAGTTTGGAGTTCCCTAAAACCGTGGGCTACTGTCACTTGCAAATGTGTTTGGCTGAGCTGCCTGTCTCTGTCTAGGTGTGACAGCAGCTCCCTGTCACATGTTGTCTTGTGGGCTATGGGGTGGCAGGGCCAGGTCTCCCTTAAGTGCAAGGGTGGAGTAAAGATCCCCCAAAGGCAAATGACCACACTGGGAAAGAGGTGCAAAGAATTGGCCCCTGCTCCCAGGGCAGCCACTGAAGGACCACACCCAGGCCCGTCAGCTCCCATGGACGATGCCTGCCGCACAGGGAAAAGCTGGGATGCTAAGACCTGAAAAGACACCTGGACACACCTTCCAAAGCCTTCTGTCTGCTGTGCTACACACATAATCAAAGAAGCAACCGCAATGTTGCCAAAATATTGGTCAAATCAAAACCACAGTGAGATACCATTTCATACCCTTCAAAAAACAGAAAACAAGTGTTGGGTAAGATGTAGAGAAATTAGAACCCTTGTGCATTGCTGGTAAGAATGTAAAATAGTGCAGCCACTGTGGAAAACAGTATGGAAACTCTTCAAAAAAAATTAAACATAGAACTACCATATTATCCAGCATGTACACTCCTGGGTATTTACCCCAAAGAATTCAAAGCCGGGACTTGAACAGATATTTGTACACTGGTGTTCATAGCCAGATTATTCACAATAGCCAAAAGGTGGAAACAACCCAAATGTCCATCAGATGAATGGTTAAACATAATGTGATATACACATGCAATGGAATATTACTGAGCCTTAAAAAGGAAGGCTTAATACACATGCTACATACAAAATGAATGAACCTTGAAGATATTATGCTAACAGAAACAAGTCAGACACAAAAGTACAACCATTGCATGATTCCATTTATATGAGGAACCTAGAATAGACAAATTCACAGAGACAGAAAGCAGAATGGTGGTTGCCAGGCAGGGGCTGGGGGAAG